CATTAGAGACTCTGGAAACATAAAAAACCATGATCCAAAAATGAGGTCCAATATTTCAGTTGCTGTCAATATGATAGAGAGACACATGAAAAGAGTTGAAAAGATGGAAAACAGAATAGTAAAATAGAAGATAGAATGGTCATCTCAGATCTACTAGAGTTAAAAGTTGAATCAAAATGAAAGGGAAAAGAAGAAAACCTAAGAATAATGTAAGACACCATCTAGAGAAATAACATGAACATCATTGGTAGCCCAGAACAGGAAGAAACAAGTAAAGGCATTGAAAAAGTTGCAGAAGAATTACTAGCAGAAAACTTTCCTGGCATAATGAAGAATGAGAGAACATATATTCAAGAAGCTGAGCAAACACCATATAGAATAGACTCCAAAAGAAAAACAACAAGGTATATTATAGTAAAATTTGACAGAATCAAAGATAAGGAGAGGATTCTGAAAGGAGTGTGGGAGAAACAAAGAGTAATCTATAAGGGAGAGCAAATAAATTAAGTGATGATTTCTCAGCAGAAACCATGTGAGCAAGAAGACAGTGGAATGACATATATCAAACACTCAAAGAACACAACTTTCAACCAAGAATACTGTATACAGCAAAATTGTCCATCAGATATGAAGGGGAAGAACAAGATATTTCAGAAAAACAGAACCTAAGGGATTTTGTAAAAACAAGACCAGCATTGCAGGAAACACTGAGAGATGTTGTCCTTACAGAGGTGTCACCGAAAGCAGGTTGGACCAAAGTAACTAGCAACACCACAAAAAAAAACAAAATGATAGCAATAAAACCTTGCCACTCAATAATCATATTGAAATATAAATGGTTTAATGCACCACTGAAGAAAAAAAAAGTAGCAAATTGAATGAAAACCACAAAATCCTTATTCACTGCTGTTGGGAGTGTAAGATGGTGTAACCACTATAGAACACAATATGTATGGCGCTTTCTCAAAGTTGGAAAGAGAAATATCATTTGACCCAGGAATTCCACTACTGGGAATATACCCTAAAAAACCTATAACTGCTACCCAAGCAGGTATATGTCCACTCATGTTTATTGCTCCTTTGTTCACAATAGCAAAGTGTTGGAAACAACCCAAGTGCACATCAACAAATGAATGGATAGAGAAGCTGTGGTATCCTCACACAATAGAATACTATGTTGCACTGAAAAACAAGACACTCATGAAATACTATACAAAATGGGTGAACCTGGAGTACATTATACTGAGTGAAATATCTCAGTCATAAAAGGACAAATACTACATAGCGCCACTGTTGTAAAATGAGACGGACATCAAGGTTGGGAGAATGTAAGAAAATAGGGTATAAATAATGCATATGGCATTGAAATAGATGAGTGAATTATTTAAAAGGATTATACGATTAGGTATTATTTTCATGGCAAGGGTCCAGAATAAGAAGTGCATAGTAAAGTGGATTTTGGCGGGGGGAGGGGATGCATAATAATGAAAGAATTTTTTTTTCTTTTCAAAGAGAAAAGATAACTGGGGGAGTAAGGGTTGACAGAGGGGGAAATGTGTAACAATATATGAATGGAAATCCAAAGTCTGTAAACTTTCACTAAAATTTCAATTAAAAAATATAATATTTTGTTCTTCCTGAACTGCTAAAAAATGTAGTGACAAGAACTCTGCAGGCTGAGGTGGAAAGCTGGGGCATTATTTTTGTAGTTTATAGATATGACAGCTGGGAGATTAATGTATGGAGAATCTTTATATTTAATAATGCCCTCATTTTGTATGTTTGTATGTGTATAAGAAGGATTTTTCTTTTAGTTTCAAAATTTTATAAAACCTATGATTATCTCAAAAGAAAAATTCATTTTGTCACACTGGCATTAAACCCTTGGGGGGGATAGTTATGTTTCTCAGGTTATAGACTACTACTCCTGAAAAATTAGTCAAGACCATTTTTTCACATGCTAGAATTTCTTTAAAATTGATACAGATGCATCAGCAACACATTCCTCTAAGGAGAATGTTTGATATCTTTAGGAGATTGCAGACCAGGTGTACTGTAATTGCCATAGTATCCCCTGAGCTGTCCTATACATATCTTGTGTTGTTGTTGTTGTTATGTGCCGTCGAGTCGCCTGAGACTCATAGCGACCCTATGTACAACAGCCCTAAACTCCGCTCTGTCCAGTGCCAATCGCACTGTCTCTGACACTCCCATCCCAATTATCCCAGTCACTGAATCAATCC